AATAAGTTGTGCTATAAATAAATTGTGATCGGATAAATAAGTTATTGGATACATAAGGAATGCTACAAAGCATGTGTTCTCAAGGGGAGCAATATTTTACCTCTATGTGACCCTCTAGTGAGGCAAAAATTGGTTTGGGAGAGTAAGAAATACAATATGTAGAATATAAGTAGATACTGATGAATGGGTGGATGATAGACAGAGAGATAAGTAGGTAAGACATTGGATAGGTATAGATATAGAGCATATCTGTGGTATTACATTTCACAAGGGACAATTAAAATGTCTTCTTGCAGTGATAATGAAAAAACAATTAAGAAATACTGCTCTTAATAAGATGAAAGACCTAAAGACACACGAAAAAAAGATTGAATCTCACAAACATAATGTTGAATGAACAAGATAAAAGAGAGAACCACTGAGTGATTTCATTTATATGAAGTGCCGAAATCAGAAGTTCATCTACAGTATCATTTATCAACATAGTGTTTGGGGAAGGCACAGGTGGAGTAGTGACAAGAAAGGGAACAGGAAAGGAAATCCAGGGGCAGGGTCTTGGTCACATTCTCTTCCTTCATCAGGTTCTGGTTGCATGGGTGTGTTTAATCTGTGGAATTCATCAAGCTGCATGCTTAGCAATTTGTGTAGTGTTTTTTTTTTCTTTATGTAGTTATTCTTTCATAAAAAGTTTTTTGAGAAAATAAAAATGAGTTTGTTCCATATATACCAACATAGAAAGGTGACCCAGGCATATCATTAAGTGAACAAGGCACGTAACAGAACAACTCAGTAGAATGAGCCAACATACACAACAAAGAGCTATAAATGTGTACGTCAATGCAGAGATGGGGGCCTGAGTGACTCTGAAACAAAAGAAAGACTTGGGGGAATGAGAATGTCCCAATTTTTCCTTAATTTTGTTATTGTGGCAAAATAGACATAACATAAAATTTACCCTTTTAACCATTTTTAAGTTTACAGTTCAGTGGCATTACGTACATTCACATTATTGTACAACCATCACCACCATCCACCTACAGAGCTTTTGTATCTTGCAAAACTGAAACTCTGACCCCGTTAAACAGTCACCCCCAATTCTCCTGCCCCAGTCCCTGGTGACCACCATTCTACTTTCTTTCACTATGAATTTGACTCCTCTGGGGACTTCATATAAGTGGAATCATACAATATTCTTCCTTTTGTGTCTGGCTTATTTCACTTAGTATAATGTCCTCAAGGTTCATCCGCATTGTAGCAGGCGTCAGAATGTCCTTCCTTTTAAAGGCCGAATAACATTCCACTAGATGCATGGACCACATTTTCTCTCTCCATTCATCTATTGAGTTGCTTCCACCTTTTGAGCATTGTGGATTATGAGCTGCTATGAACAGGAGCGTGCAGAAATACTTTCAATATTCATTTTTAATTCTTTGGGGAATAAACCCAGAAATGGGATTGCTTTATCAAATGGTCATTCTGTTTCTTTTCTTTTTTCTTTTTTTTCTTTTTTTTCTTTTTTTGAAGGAACCGCCCTTACTGTTTTCCACAGTGGCTACAGCATTTTATGAGAATGTTCCAGTGTTGCTGAATCCATTTCAGTATTGTTTGAATATTTCATTCCTACATATAAGCCCAAGAGAAATTAAAACATACATTCATACAAAGACTTGTGTGCTACAGTGCTGTCCAACCCATGGCCTGCAGGCCGCGTGCAGCCCAGGATGGCTGTGAATGTGGCCCAACACAAAGTCGTAAATTTCCTTAAAACCCTTTTTTGCTCATCCATTTTCATCAGTGTTTGTATATTTAATGTGCGGCCCAAGACAACTCTTCTTGCAGTGTGGCCCAGTGACGCCAAAAGGTTGGACACCCCTGGATAGCAACATCATTCATAATAGCCAAAAGTTGGGAACAATCCAAATATATATTTATGGGTGGGCGAAGAAACAAAATTAGGTATGCCCATACAGTGGAATGTCATTCAGCCATAAAGGAATGACATACTGACTGATACAGGTTACAGCATGGATGAACCCTAAAAACATGCTTAAGGAGCCCAAACACTTAAGACCACAATTATATGATTCCATTCATGTGAAATGTCTGTAACAGGAAAATCTATAGAGACAGAATACAGATTAGTGGTTGCCAGGGACTGAGAGATTTGAATGGGGATTTGGGGCAATAACTAAAGGACATGGGGTTTCTTTTATTTTGTTTGTTTGTTTGTTTTTCCCAAATGCCTGCTCTAACTAAAAGGTCAGTAGGGGGGAAAACTAGAAGGACAAAAACATTTTAAAGATTTTATTTATTTATTAAAGGAGGGAGAAAAACATCAATGTGTAAGAGAAACATCAATCGGTTGCTTCTCACGCACCCCCAACTGGGAACCCGGGCCCTGCAACCCAGGCATGTGCCCTTACAGGGAATCGAACCAGCGACCATTTGATTCATAGGCCAGCGCTCAATCCACTGAGCCACACCAGCCAAGGCAGGGTTTCTTTTTGAAGTAATGAAATGGTTCTAAAATTGTGGGGATGGTTGCACCACTCTGAATATAATAAAAACCATTGAATTGTGCACTTTAAATGGGCGGGTTGTATGGCATGTGAATTATATCTCTTTAAAGTCCTTACCACCAAATGAAGTGAAGTGCAGTAAAGACTGAGAAAGAATAGAGGAGGAAGGTCACGTGGAAGAGAAGAGAGGAGCTGAACCAGCTGCAGAGCATCGGTTGGAGCAGCTGAACAGGGTTCTCCGGGGCTGAACCCTCCTGGGTCTGAGTGTCAGCTGTGCCCATTGCTGGCCAAGTGACCTTGGGCAGTCATTTTACCTCTATGAGTCTCAGTCTTCTTTACTGCAAAATTGAGAGCAAACAACGCTGACCTCTTGGGGCTGTTGAATACTTGACAAGATAAGAAACCGAGAGAAACTCACACGATCTGCGCAGCTGAGGGTGGAAGAGATGGAGGTGGGCGTTAGGATGGAAATGATGGACAGATGATGGCCAGAGGACCTGGGCCTGGGGGCACTTCATGGGGAGCTGGTGTAAAGCTCTAGCTGTCGTGGATGCCCTGCCTCAACCTCCTCAGCCGGGGGCATTGGCTGAGCTTTGCCATCACCCATTGCGTGGGTGTTTGGCTTCATTTCTTCATCAAGGGTGTGTCCCTCCCGTCATGAGGTTTCTTGAGTGACAGAAGATTTAGGGACAATAAAGACCCAGACAGCTGCGCTGTCCAATTCAGACAGGCCCCTCAGGAAAAACCTGGGAAGATTCTGCACTGTCAGACCCTTCTCTGAGGCCAGCCCGTGGGCCAGACTCCTCTTCGGTGCCCAGCCCTGTTGGCAGCTAGGAGAGTGGCGAGACGGCCTGGCTCTACGGAGCAGCTACTGCTACAGAGAGTAAGTGATCTGGCACATGCTGGTCTCTCTCGCTCTCTCTCCCTCCTCCTCTCACTGCATGAATGAGTATTCTGGCCAGTTTTCCACCTATTTATCCATCGACCCATCCATTCTTTTATATGTTTCTTTGTTAACTCAGAGAATCCTCCCCAACACCTCTTCTGTGCCCACTCACACACTGGTGACTCTGACAGAGATGGAGATAAAGAATTCAGGCTTTTATTCCTAAACACTGAGCTGCCAGCTCAGCCACAAGAATAAGAATCAAAAGCTGCTGTAATGCAAGTCTAAATGGGCAGAGCTGTGGGAGTCCGGGGAAGGGAGAGGCAACTTCCAGGGCACCTAACAAGGGTCACTAAACCTACCTTGATTGCTCTGAGTGTAAAGCATCTAGTGCTCTTTGAAGGCTCTTTCAAGATGGGAAAGTTGAGTTTCAGAAAGGAAAGTGAGATGCTCAAGGTCCCACAGCTGGGAAGAAGCCAGGGCAGGACTTGATTCTGGTTTATCTGGCTCCAGAATCCATGCTCCTTCTGTCTACTTTCTCTCCCTCACAGTATTTGGCTTCCTTTTCCTTAAAGCAGTGGCTCCATCGTGCGTGTGTGTGTGTGTGTGTACACATACATGTGTTTAGTAAATATGTAAGAGAGAAAGAGAGAGAGATTGCATGTTCATTTCTGTCATGGACTAGAGCTTCATGAGAGCCAGGAGCATGTCTGTCTTACATAGGATATTTTCGATGTGTAGCTTATAACAGACACCCAGAAGATATTTGCTGGACAGATAGATATATGGGTGATTGGGTGGATAAGTGGATGGAGGGATGGGTCAATCAATGGATGAATCAATGGATGGATCAAAGGATGAATCGATGGATCAACGGATGGATCGATGAGTGGAGAGGTAAGTAGAGTGTGAGGAAAGACAAAGCAGACATGATGCACCCAGATTGGCAGAGAAGCATCTTGACTGGTAAAGAAGTGTAAAGAAAAGACAAGGAGGCGGGAAAACACTAAGAATCTGACAAAAATCATCCTGTTCAGCCGGAGAGTAGAACAGGACTCAGATGAGAATGAAGAATTTAAAGGTTCAGGCTCAAGGCAGAGGGAGGGAGTGTTTCAAAGTAGTATTCTCCACTTCAATGATCTTCTCATTTTAAACCCAACCTCAAAGCATCTCCTTGTTGATGCCTCTTCAACCAGTCAGCTCCTGGGCGGCAAAGAGGAATACATGGGCCACTCGCCCTGCTTATTGGTCCAGTAAGGGGTTCAGTCTGTCATCGGCTGGTGAGTGTCCTGGGGGAAGGATAGGGAAGTTTCCAGATGGGAGGTCCCATGGGGGTGGGCTTAGCAAGAGTTCTGGAGACATCCAGGGGTGGGAAACACAACTGGAGTGTCACACTAGACAGGGCATGCTTCATGGACTGCCACCTCTTGCTCAGGTTTGACCTTGAACCAAGTTCTCACCACTGGGGCCCTATTCAGTCTCAAAAATCCAGGTGTGCAAGCTAGTCTGTACCCTGAGGCACAGAGGCTTCAATCTCTCTTCTCTTGAATCCTCAGGATCAGCCAAGGCTGCAGAGAACCAGAGTCAGCGGAGACATGAGCAACCCTCAGCCCTTGGAAGAGATGCGCTGCATGCAGGTTGGGGGAGAGGGGTGGGAGCCTCTGAGGAGAGGACAGGTGAAGAGCTTAATGTTTCAGAGACAGCAAAGGGGATAAAAAAAAATCGTGGCCTGAATTCAGAGCTAGGAAGCACTTTGTGATCATTCAAATGGAGAAAAAGACTCAGACAGAATCCAAGTCCCGGGTTGGGGGAACCCAACTACATCTCTCTCTACTTCTCTTCTGAAGAGAAATTTTGACCCAAACATCCTTCTTCCTGAGATGGTACAAGATGGGATCTCAGCATTAGCTTTGGGAATTCAGGGACCTCTGCAAGTGAGAAAGTGCTACTAGAACACTCACGGGAAGGATGGAGAGACAAAGCCACCCAGCGTGACAACTGGAGGAGAACTTCAAAACCCTTCACACACACTCATTGTCTATATTTGGAAACTGAGGCTCAGCTAGGAGGAGTGACTTGCCCAAGTTCATATGGGACCAAAATAGAGATGGACGTCTAGAAGGAAATTAGATTTTTGGTGGTGAGAACACAATATAGGACACAGATGCACAATTACAATGTTGTGCACCTGAAATTTATATAATGTTTTTAACAAATGTTATCTCAATAAGTTTAATTAAAAAAAATAAAATCTCCTTTGTCAAATTAGAATTTCGCATCAATAAAAAATAATCTTATAGCATAAATATATCCCATGCAATCTTTGGGATATACTTATATACTAAAAGTGTTATTTTTTTAGTTCATCTGAAATTTGAGTATAACTAGACATTGGTATTTTACCCAGAAACCCTAGCCCCAGGCCTCTTTGGACCATATCTCCTGCTTCTCCTTGACCTCCCTACCCCTTTGATGATTTTGTCATCTCTTGGTCCAGGAGGCATATGACATGTCCCGTGCCCACCTAGCCCTGACACCGTGTGTCATCAAAGCCCGCGAAGGTTCAGAAAAAGACCTGGTCTCCCTGGAGCACATGTTCCAGCAGCTGGGATTTGAGAGTGGGGTCTAAAAAGAGACCCCACTGCCCAGGTATCGGGCAACCACTCAGGCTAACAGAGGGAGGGCTGGACCAGAAAGTGGGCTCCACACCTGAGTCTGGCCATTCCTCTTGCTCCAGCAATTCCAGGAAGAAATGGGGAAGTTCCAGCAGACCATCGATGCCCGGGAAGGCTTTGTCAGCTGTGCTTTCGTGGTGCTCATGGCCCATGGGGAGGAAGGGTACCTCAAAGGGACGGACGGGCAGGTGGTTGAGCTGGAGAACCTCTTCAGAGTTTTGAATAGCAAGAATTGCCAGGCCCTGCGAGCCAAGCCTAAGGCGTACATTGTGCAGGCCTGCCGAGGAGGTGGGCACCGAGCCAACGACAGAGCTGTGGTCCTGATCCGGTCCTGTCCCAGATCTAGAGCCCCAGCTAAGTCGGGTTGCTAATCTGCCTTATGGCCTCCTCCTTTCCCCAGCTTTCTTTCTGACTTTGACTTCATCTCTTCTTGGTGTTCCAGAACAAAGGGATCCCGGTGAAACAGTAGGTGGAGACAATGTTGAGATGATCACAGAAGACAGTCACCAAACCATCCCGACACACACAGACACCCTCCACATCTACTCCACCGCGGAGGGTATGAGCTCCCCGCTGAACCAAGGTGGCCTCTGCTCCCCCCACCTCGCCCACCGCTCTTGACCCCTGAGACGCTCCTCGAGGACCCTCCCTCTCCCAGGCCCCCTTGCACCCCACACACCCCCTCCCTGCCACCCCTATTGGAGCTCCCCTGAGCCCATTTCTCGGCACTCCCCGGGGTACCTTCCCTACAGACATGACGAAGAAGGCTCCTACTTCATCCAGACCCTGGTTGATATGTTCACGAATAAGAAAGGACCCATCCTGGAGCTTCTGACAGAGGTGAGTTGGGACAAGGTGCCTGGGACCACCACCCAGCCACAGCAGGGAGCAAGCAGAGCAGGTTGAGCCTCTTCCACGCCTTCTGCCTTTTCCCCTTCCCTCCTTCCAGCCCCAAATCCAACTCAGGTTCTAACACTAAGAACCCATCTCTTAGCAATGCCTTTCCCTTTCCAGGAAGCCCCAAAGCCCACAATATGTGAAATAATTTAGATAAAATACAGATGAATTTCTGTAAACAAAACAAAAACTTCTGTATGCTTTTATGGTGGATTAGGAAGAACACATAACAAGAATGCCACCAATGATTCCACAGAGGGGATGGCATAGGATGACATGATAAAGGTCACCTCTCTGAGGGCAGGGATACCCACCTGCTCTCTCCTCTAAACGTCTCCCTGTAAGTCCATCACACTGACTCCCCCAGGGCCCAGTCCCAAGCTAACCGCACCTGTTGCTGCAGGTGACCCGGCGGATGGCAGAAGGAGAGCGCATTCAGGAAGGGGAGGCGAGGAAAGTGAACCCCGAAGTTGAAAGCACCCTACGGAAACAGCTCTACTTGCAGTAGAAGTAGAAAGGACAGAAGGAAGCTCCCTCCCCGGTGCTCTCTCTGCCCCTCCGATGCATAAAGGCAGATCTCTCTATTCCCTCAAAATCTTCTCTCCCCGAAGCTGAATGGCACTCAGTCCTTCTTCCGTCACACCCCTGGTGCAGGTCCTCCTTCCAGCTATCCCTGTCCTTCTTAAAGCAATCCAGCTAAAACTGACACAAGGCACGATGGTAGCAATAACATCACCTCCCTCAGGCTGGACACCTTACCTCTATTAATGCAACCTAAAGCGGTAATTACTAATCCCACTTTCTGCTCCTATGCTTCTCAGAAACACTCTCCTATCTTTTATGAATCCTACGCGTACAAATGTAACCGGATAAAGCTCAAGATTTTTTGCTGATAAACCAATGCCCACTCACCACCTCCTATCTCTATCCAACCTTTGCTGGCTCCTAAATCTCACCCAGAGTTATAACCTCTTCCTGAGCCCACATCCATTCCTATCTCCCAGGGGTTCCCTCCCAATTCCTAGAAATTCAGTAAGGCAATGATCATCCTCTCTCTAAGACCCCTCTTCCTTGGCTAGGAAGCTGGTGGCTTGACACTGTTCTCCTGGTCCACGGGCTCTTTCTGGCCAATGAAGATGCTTCCTCCTTTTCTGGATCTCTCCCTCCTAATTAACACTGCCCCCACAACCACCACCAGGCCCTGGACTCTACCCCCTCTCCAGAAACTCCGGTTGGCCCACCATTCTTACGGTTTCAACTTTCGCCACTCTGAATCGGAGTATGTCGGAACTATGACAGATCCCCTAGTGTCACCCTGTTGTTTTGTGGACAACATGACAGAGGCTCAGAGATGTTACATGGTTTGCCAAATGCCACACAGTAAGTCAAGGGCAGGATCAGGGTCTGGTTTCCATCCCAGCCACCTTCCCATTGCCTGTTAAGCCTTGAACCATCAGAAAACTTTTCTAATGAGAGCGACCACCTGATAAAAAGTTCTCCCTACCTTGGTAACTGGAGCTCTCTGGAAGACTTCCAGAAATCCTTGATGCTCAGCATTCAAGGTTACCTCCGTGGAACCCCAGCGCTAGGCCGGAAGCTGGACCAGATACGTTGCCCTCGAGTCTGAGATACACGTCTCTGTGTCTCCAGCCTGGACAATTTCCCAGGGAAATAACCTATGCCCATATCTGCCATCACTGAAAGCTCATGGTTAAAGAGGAGTCTTTTCTTCCTGGTCCACCTCCAACTGTTCGCTGTCACCCTCAACCTCAGACTCCAGGTTGGGAAATCTGCAGTTATCTCTAACGCCCTTTTTCTCGCCCCCTCCTATGCCACCAGCCGCCCTGCCCAGCCCAGGCTGACTTTGGAACGCTTCTCATATCTGTCTCCTCTTCTCCAACGTGCCACTCTCCCAGTGCAGGTCGCACCCTCACATGTTTGCTCCTCTGCACCCGCTTCCTTCCTTGCCGCACCGCTTGGCTATCGCAGCCCTCCTCTGCCTCCACACCATCTGCAATTCTTGACCTTCTTAGAACACCCAAGAAGACACAATGGCACCCCATCACTTAGATAACAAGGCCAAGCTCCACATCCGGATTTCTCACTCCCTTATAATGCCGCCTCCAGCCACCTATCAGCCAAATTCATCCCTCACCTCCCCCATCGTGAATCCACTTTTCCAAGCACACTAATGTCCTCTTACTCATCCCCACCTCTAAGCCTTTGCCATCTCCATTTCCCCAAGCTGGAGTGTCCTCTCTCTATCTTCACCCCCCTCCCACTACCTCCCATCCCTACTTATTCCAGAAAGCCATTCCTAATAATCTTTTCGGCTGATTCTGCTCTCTCGCTTAGGATGAGACACTGACGATCACAGTTTCTTGAGGGCAGGGAGCGAGTCTTTGATTATCCTAATGGGCTTTCAATAAACAGTTGTCAAACTAAAAGTGTGTATTGGAATCTTTGCTGTGAACATAAACCATGAGGTTGATGTGAAAGGCATTATGGGTTTGGTTTCTTTCTCCCATGGCCAGCTGCCTCCCAGGTGTGTCTATCATGAACAGAGAATCAAGAGCGCATCCTGTCTCTTTCATAAGAGCAGATGTGTTAAGAATTTGTAAAGTTACAGGCCACATTTGCATGCCACCCAGCTATATTTCCCAGAATTGTTCCATCCCCAGAACATTCCCAAGGAGGTATCCAGGCACAGAACTGTAGCTTTTCAGAACCATAACAGACCTGGGAAATCAGTTAGTTACAGGATCACCTCTCTCTATCCAGGTGCCCATAGCAGACATAAATAATCAATTACACCTTCTTTCCTACTTAACTGGGGTGTAGCCTCAAAGCCTTCCTCCTCGCAGCACCCCAGGAAGCACAGGCATATCATCCCTGATCTCATTGAACCCCTTCACGAGGGAGCCACTTGTCTAGAGTCACCAAGTTCTTCAGGAACCAACCCAGGGCTCCTCACCTACGGTGCAGTCATATCCATGGCGGTAGTCAGGGCTTTATCCATAAAAACAGAAGAGCAAGTGGCTGAGGAAGGGCGAGTACACAGGACCAAGCAGATCTAGGGTGATGCATATACTGAGCCCTATAGACCTACCCATGTGCAAACCTGTGCTTCAAACACCCAATGATTCTGGAGTCTCCAAATGCAATAGTCAGCAAATTATGACCCACTCACCCAACCCAGCCTCAGCCTGTTTTTATAAATAAAATGTTATTGGCACACAGCACACTCATTCATTTACATATTGTCGATGGCTCCTTACATTCTACAACAGACAACATATGACCTACGAAGCTGAAAATAGTTAATATCTGTCCCTTTACAGAAAAATGTACCAACATCTGCCCTAATATTTTTTCAACAAATGCTCATTTTGCTTAAGTTGGCCAGAGTGGCTCGCCACCAAGAGCCATAACTGACTCAACAGGCAACACAGTGCTGAAGTCCATGGCTTAATTCTTCAAGACCCCTGAGTAAAGGTTTCCCTCAATTATTTAGTGAGGATTTTAAAATTTATCCTGAAAGTTCATTTTTAGGTATCAGGGACAGATCCAGAACCTGTACGATTGGTGCGGGAGTCCTTCCTTAAGAAAAATACAAAAATACCAGTATAGAGTCAATACAGCACCATGAGCACATTGTCAGGTCTCTCCCCAGGTCTTGGAGGGGCTCAGAAATGGGGGCCCTGTAGCTCATGCTGTGTTCACTTCACAGCATCTGGTCTCCAAGTCATTCTCTAACTACAGCAGGTGTCATTTTAAAGTGAGAATCTGGAGTCTTCTGGCCAAGATGGAGGCATAGGTAAACATGCCTCGCCTCTGCATAACACTATAGCAAAAATTACAACTAATCTACAAAACAAGTTTCACCCAGATTCATCAGAAAACCAAGCTGTATAGAAGTCCAACAACCAAGGATTTAAAGAAGCCACATTCATCCAGGTGGCTAGGAGGGGCAGTGATGCGGAGGCACGGGAGAGGCACGGAGTGGCGCAGAAAGGCACACAGAGGTGGCGGAAGAGTGGTCCCACATTCACATGTGGTGGGTAAAAATTAGGAGGGATACCGCAGAAACGAGCAATCCCAGCCTCAGACCAGACCAACCAAAGCTCCCCGCCCAGGGTACCAGCACCAGGAAGATAAGTCCCCGTAACTTCTGACAGCAAAAACCAGTGGGGATTAAGGCAGCAGAAGAAACTGCAGGATTCTCAAGAGACTTCTCTTAAAAGGCCCACAATGGATGTAGGACTCACACAGACCCACCCTCTCTGGGATTCAGAACCAGGGCAGTAGCTGAAAAGGCACAAGTGGCGTACAGGGAGAAGAGGAGAAAGTGAAGTGACTGGCAAGGGGGCAAGTGCCAGGGAGACAGCTTCCTCGTGGGCAGTCTCCGAGGCCAGGCAGTGGCATCGTCCCCTCTCCAAGCCACTCCCCACACACACGGAGCCACAAAGTGGTGAAACGGTTGGCCCCAACCTGGCAACTACGTAAGGCTCCATCCCACACAATTTACAGGTGGCTTTTCTACAATAGAACACGATCCTAAGACAGGGAGTCAAAGCAACTCTACCTAATACACAGAAACAAACACAGGAAGGCTCCCAAATTGAGGAGACAAGGAAATATGGCCCAAAGGAAAGAAGAGAACAAAACCCCAGGAAAAGAACTAAATGAAATAGAGATAAGCAACTTATCAGATGCAGAGTTCAAAACACTGGTTATCAAGATGCTCAAAGAAATCATTGGGTAGTGCAACTACATAAAAAAGACCCAGGCAGAAATGAAAGTTGCATTAAGTAAAATAAAGAAAAAAACCCAGGGAACCAACAGTGGAAGGGATGAAGCCAAGATTCAAATCAACAATTTGGAACATAAGGAAGAAAAAAGCATTCAATCAAAACAGCAAGAAGAAAAAAGAATTCAAAAATAGAGAATAGCGGGGGAGACAGAGACAAATGTATTTGAAAAAATAAATTAAAATAAAATTTTAAAAAATATACGAGAATAGAATAAGGAGCCTCCAGGACATCTCCAAACATACCAACATCCAAATCATAGGGGTGTTAGAAGGAGAAGAGGAAAAGCAAGAAATTGAAAACTTATTTTAAAAAATAATGGAAGAAGACTTCCCTAATTTGGTGAAGGAAATAGACATGCAAGTCCAGGAAGCACAGAGAGTCCCAAACAAGTGGGACCCAAAGAGGACCACACCAAGACACATCATAATCAAAATGCCAAAGGTTAAAATCAGCGAGAGAAAAGCAGAGTTACCTACAAAGGAGTCCCCATGAGACTGTCCACTGATTTCTCAAAAGCTACTCTACAGGCCAGAAGGAACTGGCAAGAAGTATTCAAAGTGATGAAAAGCAAGAACCTACAACCTAGATTACTCTATCCAGCAAAGCTATCATTTTGAATTGAAGGGCAGATAAAGTGCTTCCCAGACAAGGTAAAACTAAAGGAGTTCATCATCACTAAGCCATAATTATATGA